GGGAGATGGTAGTGAGGGTGGGAATTTTAGTCCAGATCTAATAACAAAAAAAGAGAGGTTGGACTTGGGTAAATAAAAGGGGGGGGGGAGAGTATTGTTTATGTTACAATATAAGCATTTTTCATAAAAAATTTCAGTTTATAAATCGAAACTAATATTTTTTACAAAACACGCATAATGCTCAAATTTTTTAACAGCTGTATTACCATAATTTCAATAGGATTTAATATGCTGGTATAAGTTTTATACTTTGGTGAGAAATAAACCAAAAGCTCATTTATGACAAATTGAGATTTAAGTTAAGAATTTTTTCTGTTTACACTAACAAATTTTGTTTTAATCAGTGACTAAAAAAATTATTTTCTAATTTTTAAGGCCAATTTTTATTAATTTTGTTTTAAAGTTTTTGTTATATATATATATATATATATATATATATATATATATATATATATATATATATATATATATATATATATATATATAATATATATATATATATATATATATATATATATATATATATTAGGGTAGGTCGATTTTAGCTTTTTTTTTGAATTTTGAGTTGCGTAATGTTGCAGTTTCTGTGTCTAGGTTAGAAATGAGGTTTTACCAAATCTCAAGTACCCTGGTTTAAAAATGGCTTGCGGATTTGCATTTTAAGTCTTAATTTTGGACTAGTATTGTTAGATTGTTTATTTCAAACGTTACAAAATTTTATTTTAAATCTAGTAATCTCGTTTTAAAATATCTCGTTTTGAGTTTATAAAGTAACCAATTAACAAGCGCAATTGTTTTAAGAAGCCAATAAAGTTTCGCTAAATCGTTTACACGCATTTAAACTTAGCAAATCTTTTTTGTATTTATATTTCTTGCTTGTATTTTAAAGTTAGTTTTAAAGTTAAATTTATTAAAAAGTAGGTTCAAAAATAAAACTGCAATTTAAAGAAATCTTTTAATATCAAAGGTAAATACTTATGGTTATTATATCTAGAGTAATGTTTTAAACTGTTTATATTACATAAGTTTTGATTTGCATTTCTGAAGTAGATTAAAATATAAAACTTTTCGATGGAACTAATGGTTTTACTCAATTCCTGAGATTCCTGAATTCATGGCCCCCAAATCTTTTCAAAAGAGTTTTATTTCTTTTTTTTTTATCAAAGCAGGTTTTTAATAGTAAATTTTAATATTTTAGGTTTTTTTGATGCTTTGGCCCCCACTAAAAACTCACGCTGTTGCCCATTACTCTTAGTGTAATACTTTAATACAGTTTATATATATAATTAATCTACAAAAATGCCGAAAGTAAAGGTTGCAATTACAAGGATGAAAAGTGAAAAAAAAAATATTGTGGCGGCCCATGTGAACTATCAACGACAGATCCAAGCACTTTTAGACAGGTTATTCAGTATTATTACTATCTTATTCATATAAATCCAAATGCAGATATCGTATTAGTGACTTAGCAAATTAGCAATAATATAAAATCAATTTGGGCTACAGTAAACCCAAGATTACCTCTTATAACTGACAAATCTATTAATAGGAAAGTTAAAGATCTTCTCGTACTTGTAAAAGGTATTAATCGCAAGCACGGAAAAGCAAGCGCTAAAAGAAATCTTGATGCAAACTTGGACAAACTTTTTGATATTTCTGCGTGTTCCTGTTCATTAGATGTGTTTCCCTGTAGTGACAGAAAAGTTTCATGTAATAAAGAAAATTGCATCGAAGAACATATTGTATGCCTTTGTTCTCAAAGTAATAAAGGATCTCTGTAAGACAGAGCTTATCTTCGTGATCAGAGGAAAAAAAGTGGTCCAAAAGGCGCATATCAACTTTCTTCCGTCGATAGATTATCTGTCAAAAGGATTCAAAGCCTTGATAAAGAACGACAAAAAATATCTCATAAGCTAGTTAATGAAGACGAATCCCTCATAGCACAAGTAAACTTAATTGAAGAAACAAGTGGTTTGACCAATACGGAGGTAAATATTTTATAAATACATGAAATATTTGTAACAGATGAAACAGAAAGCGTTTTATTTTATTAACCCTTTTTAGGATGAAGGTGAATGGAAACCAGTAAATAATCCTATTGGAAAATACAACTTAGTTAAACTTTCAAAATTTGCAATGGAATTAGTCAGAAATGAGTGTTCGTCAAACGTAGGTGCAGCCCTAGCAAATGCTTTACTACATGACATAAAACATCTTTCGAAAAATGACGTTGATATTAAAGATATTTTGATTGACAAATGCAAGTTAGATAGGGCCAAGTCAAAAGTAAAAATCGTTAGTGAAGAGGTGGACTCAGAACAAAAAAAACAGTTAATTTGTCTTGGGGTTGACAGCAAGCTCGATCAAATAACTAAAACAAGTATAATAATAAACTTACCTCAAGGAGAAGTACTAAAGAAATGCATTGAACCTGAACATCACCTCACATTTACTTATGAAGATGGAAAATCAAGTGGAAATTATTTGACTCATAGGACGA